TTCTCACAGAGCAAGTGGAAGTCTAGCTAGTCGCCGCACGCACAAAAGCCTGCGGGGGTATTCAGCTTGATGAGGGCGCGTTGGCGACAATGGACCAATCAGTGGACCAATGAAAAAGTAATAACTACGGTGCGCGCTTACTGCCGCGGCGTGACAACTGCGCTCCGATGCCCTTCTGTGCTGTGAGTCATCGTGGGGAAATGGACGCATTCCCAACAGCCTGGAACCACCTATTTCCGTTCACGTTTTCCAATTGGCCAGATCCGAAGTGGCTTTGATTGAAACATCGTTGTATCTGGCAGTGGGAACAGAGGCTAGTCTCATACAAGACTGATGGAAAGTCTTGCGAACTCATAGATGCTGAGTCTAAAGCCTGTTACCATTTTCTAGTTTCTAGGTCCTTTGAAGGTTCCTGTCCAGTGTTTTAAGGGTCACCCGTCTCCCCAAACTCCGTCGTTTACTTTGAGAAGTCATTTTTTCTCATCTACCTGGGTGGATCACAGGACTGATAACAATTGTGAAAAAAAATCCTTAATAATTAAGTCAGCCTAGTAGTCATTCTGGTGGATTCTAGATGATTCCTCAGGAAATCCTGCTTGGGCAGTCAACTGGCTGTTCCGTATTGCTGGATTTCATATGAACGGCAAAGTTGGGTGGGTAATATCGATCCAAGTGTGATTAAACTCACGGTGTGAAGCGCGGCATTCGTAGCTCTAGTGGGTAGAGCGTTGGCTTGCGTAAAATGCCTTCCCTCCTATGCGGTTTCAAATGCTGCAATAGGGTCAACTAGAATTACATATCAATTTACGCTCAAGAATTAAATATTTGACCACAATATACTTTAGGCAGTTGGGCGAGGAGGGATAGATATCTTGAGGGGCCCTACAAATCAGTTTTGCCCAACTTACTGTCTCAGAATCGGTAGATTCCATACGTGGCAGACGGCAGTGTGGTTAACCTCGTGGCTCCTGCTGGGGGTCTCGTAGCTCGATTGGCTGGAGTGACGGCTGTTCTAATGCCTTACCTTTTGCTGGCGGGGTTCGTATCCTACCGAGGCCGATACATTTTTTCACAACGTGAGACAAATGTGACTCTTCACTTCACTCTTCTGCAAAATCTACTGCCCGTTAGTGAGGCCCTATGGGCTAGGCCATAGTTGTTATTTTTAATGCCCAGTGATTGCTTCCTCTTTACTGCACCCCACGTCAATCGTCCCTTTTACTTCTTTTTTTGGCTGTAGGAAGTGAAAGACGTCTCTTGGACCTCCAGGTGGGACTACCTTCTCGCCTCTTTCCCCTCTCACACCAACATCCAATGGCTCTCCATCGTCAACTCCCTCATTGTGGTCATCTTTCTCACCGGTCTGGTTGCTCTGGTTCTGGTGCGCACGCTCTACCGTGATGTTTCGCGCTACAACAAGCTGGACTCAACGGTGCGTCGTCACTCCCTCTTCCAGTCGTTGCGATCATTATCATTGCCCTATTGTTATTATTCTGGTTTTTTTGCCTTCTGCTTTTTAATCTGAGCCAATTGTGAAAATGCCGGGGACCTTGGTTGGATTGGAACCAACGAGAGCAAGTGCAGGGTGTTTGTGCAGTCAACCTATTTCTTCTTCTTCTTCTTTTTCTTCTTCTTATTCTTCTTCCTCTTCTGCTTCTTCTTCTTCTTCTTCTTCTTCTTCTTCTTATCAACTACCTAACTTGCGCGCTTTCTTGTAAACCGCTTATTTGGTGTCAGCGTCTTTTTAAGGCTCTTGACATCACTATCTGGTCTAGACGGTTTTCGTGAGCGCTCATTTGACTCCACCACATATTACCTCGTTGGTGAACGTTCACCGACGGCTAACGGAACTCACTCTTGTTCCGTTCTGCGTTTGGGTCTCGTTTCTTGGACCCTGACAGCAACCGCACAATGGCTAGTAGCCTGTAAACTTAGTATTGTTTGACCCTGATCGAAAGGGTCGCGAGTTCGAGCCTTGGGTGATGCACCACTCGGGGCTGGGTATGGCTGACTGATGACGGCTAATGAGCCGGAAATGGCCATCCGAGCCTCCGGCTTGTCTTTGGCGTTAATACTATCTGCCTATAGTACCGTGGACACGAAAGTGTTGACTGAACCCCTTTGCCACGGAGATGGCGGCGTCAGTGATGTCTTAAGCCTTACTTGCTACGACCAATATTCTCAACTCCGTCCTGATTTGGTTTATCTGAGAACTTGACGCTGATCACCGGGGCGGTTTGTGTTTCTTGTTGAAGTTTCGGCGAGCTGGGCCGGCTCTCCATTGTCAAAACGTCGACTGTCACTATCAATCAGCAATTCGAATGTCTGACTGATCGACTTTTCCCCCCGTTCGCTGCCTCGACTCTCGTACAGTAAATTCCCTAACTCATCAAATGTCAACCGAAATTCTGAATTGCGGACACAAACTAAATTTGCGCGTCCCAGGGGGCAAATAAGGAGTAGAAGGCTTTCGCATCTGCAATTCACACGGCCCTCACTGAAAATGAATCGCCTGTGTCAACTGCTGCGACATACACTGTGTGGTTTCCGAAAAAAGCGCGCAGGCGAATTAATTTGCGAGATTTGACGGACAAACCCGCACACACTTCCCTCTTTGTGCCAAACAAGGTGGATTCGGGCACGAACACACGTCTGTATTCATTTTTACAGCTCGCGCGAGCTCGCT